GGAATATAAAACTGATGTAGTGCATTTACAAACATTCTATCTTATACATTCTTATACAGGGACAGTGGTCTGCTAAGGCCACTATGGGAATTATTGGCTGTGTAACAGCTTCTCCACATCTGCCAGACTCCTAAAGGAGGGGCAGAACAGCCAGCCTGAGCTGCATGTGCAAGTAGGTGGCCCTGGTGGCAATCTGAGTGCCAGGCTAGGGAAGAAGATAACTTTTCACCAAAGGGCTTATTAGAAAATTGCAGCTTTTCTGCTGCTGACACAAAAGAGCCAAAGGAAAGTTAAAAGCAGCATCAATTAATGGGAAACATTTTGCCTCTCTTGGTGTTGGGCTCTGCAGGTCACCCTGCAGGAGGACGTACTGGTATATTTCATAAACATTATTCTTAGATAATTTCCCCTTTACCTGACAACAGTTACCTGTGTTTGCTTGAATACAGCAGGCCTGAGCAGCCAGACCACGTTGCTGCAGCTTTCTTAGCCAAGTTGGCTGTTTGGTTACTACCATGAAGATACCTGGGCACAGCTAAACCACCCCTTCATTTTACTTACTAGCTTGTCCATAATTTGCTCCCACTAAACCAAGCTGCTTTTTGTCAGAAAATCACTCTCCTGCTAGAGAAGCTAGTGCAGACCATGTAATTTGTGGTTTAATGTGCTGTAAAAATATGGGAAGTGCTTTGATAAGAAAAATAATTAATGGATTGTCTGAAGGAGATAGCAGTGTTCAACTGCAGGAGGCTGCTGCCCTGCCCTGCCTTCATCATCTCCCTACAACAAGTAGGACCTGGATTCCAACTCTTGTAAAGAGCCCTACTGGTCTGTGGCCTTCCTTTGGCAGCATCTTACCTTTCTGCATCTGGAAAGGTGAAGGCAGTGCCTTCAAGGCCACGAATTTCACAACTGGAATCTGCTTCCTGGCTGAAAGCAGGGCAAGTAAGCTAGGGAGGGGATGGAAAGACTGTGCACACGTAAAAGGAAAAGCCACTCACAAGTAATGGGGAATGGAGTCAGCATGCAGCCACAGATGCAGCTTGTGGGCTGGAGCTGACATAAGCTACAAAAAATGCTGCTGTCCCATTAACTGGGAGAGGACTTTCACGTGTTGGGTATTCCAGAAGCAGTGGGGGCAGCCCTGGCATCCTGAATTATAACCTGGTATAAACATTAGCTGATAGAAATAAGACCTCCCTCATAGAAGTGCTGAATGAAAATTTTTTTAAATTAAAAAAGAGAAGGTGAGGGGATTCTTTGAAATGTGATGCTTGATTACACTATGGCCTGGTCCTAAATAACTTACTCTAAATAACTTTCTGGCCTCACCGTGTTGCAACTAAACACAGTCTTTAGTCTATCTACTGCAGGCAGTGCTGATTGTGGGGCAGGGATGGAGCATTTCAACACAAAGGCTAATGTCAAAATTAGGCTGATCATTAGAAAAAAAAGAATTGATTTAGTTAAAATCACTGCTTAACATCAGATTGTTTTCCTTATCATTAGAGGTACACAGATACAAGCCCTTGCCCGTACCATGACTCCCATGAGTGACAGAGAATCACTGTATATTTGAATCTCATAAAGTATTAAGCTTCCTCTGGATCTTATCAAATGTCACAACTATCAATATTTATTTGCCCTTCCATGTGACTGGTTTTAGTGAGGAGGCACAAGGGACATTTTAAAGCATAATGGCAGACTCGAGTGGAATTACTGTGACACTGTTTAGATAACATTTCATAACAAAATGTCTAGTTTACCCAGAGAGAAACATCACACACCTGCCATCCCAAGTCTTGGAAGCTAACGTAAAGCTCATGCTTTCTGCATGCTGTTTTTAAGTCACTGCTGTTGTAATCTGTTAAAAGAAAAAGAATAAAACAGGAATTTAGAAAGTAAAACAGGCAGAGCATCTCTGGAGGGCACAGCTGGTCACATGTGTGCACACTGTGTCCTCAGCAGCAAGAAATGACAAGCTTCCTCAGCAGCCAAAAGGATAAGGGTGTTGAGGGACACCCAAGGCAGGGATGAAGCTTTTAAGGTGCCTATGGGAATGGAGGAACCCAAATAACAGTGACGTGGTTACAATTACTTCAGCTGCCTTTGAAGTGCTTATAAAACACCTCCTGTAAAATGACTTCTTAAAAATAAATCTTCAGCCTGGCATAGGCTACATCCCCACTGGGTGCTCAAACTCACCCCACTTCCTTGGCTGTGGTTTCCAACACGTGCCACTCTAGGTGGTAAGCTCAAACCACACATACTTACTGAGTGAATTACAGCTCCAGGAAGGTCAATCATCGCCTTGGGCCCCTGTATCAGTTAGCAGAAGTCCTTAAACAGCAAAGGTGTCCCATAGGCAGGAAAGCCATGTCTCCATCCATCTCTGTGCCTTACCCCCAGCCTGCCCTGGACATCACACATGACCCTATGCACTGTCTCTGCCCTTGGACTTTTAAAAACCACACTCTGAAGACATGTTTGTCCTTTCCATAAGCTGCTTATCTGCAGATGGCGTAGAACTAGACATGCTCTCACCATTCACTTGCTCCTTAATGCCAATACTGCACAGAAGAGTGGGGATGCAGGACGCAAAGCCCTGACCAGAGACCGTCCCCCTTGCCATGAGGACCATGCAGGAGCCACTCCTGATGACCCCACAAAGTACAGCTTTTGACAGCGAGTGGAATTTCCCATTTATATTTGGAAAGAGGCGGCTCTGCATGTGAACATCTGGAACCACAGCGAGCGGAGGAGCTGAACTGTGACAGAAGGGCCTTTCACCCCCGGGTGGCTGCACAAATCCAGCCCTGACGGATGGTTGCTGATTTTGTCACACCTCAGGTGACCACTGGACCTCAGCAGAGCAGCCACAGAAACCAAGTGGAATTTCCCATTTATATTTGGAAAGAGGCGGCTCTGCATGTGAACATCTGGAACCACAGCGAGCGGAGGAGCTGAACTGTGACAGAAGGGCCTTTCACCCCCGGGTGGCTGCACAAATCCAGCCCTGACGGATGGTTGCTGATTTTGTCACACCTCAGGTGACCACTGGACCTCAGCAGAGCAGCCACAGAAACCACCTTTGCAGCAGCTTGGCCACC